CTACTACAGGAAAACCCGGCAGTTCTTAAAAGCTGAAGAATTCCAAAGGAACTCTGTTATTTTTACAGGAAAATACAACAAAGTATATCGTTTACACGTAGCGCATCAATTCTGCATGTTATGCAAGACTCTCACTCGCTCTCGCTCTTTGCTCACAGTTAGAGAAAGCGACGGCGAGTCGTGCGAAATACACAAACACGGGTGCGCTGCGCATCCATTCAAATGAACTGAAAAATATCACAGATCGCTTGATGGAGAGAGAACTCTGAAGCGCTCAGTCAGAGTGTACTGTGAGTGAAAATATATTTGTGCTTAACTTATACTTAGCCTCCAACTCACACACTGGCGAGTAAAATCTGAGAATTTATTAGCCAATGGCTAATATTAGACATCATTTAGTCGCCCAGACCCGATACGAATATCGGATCGGCGCATCCCTAGTGCAAACTGATGAAGAGAGGTGTGACGTGGGCATTCTTCGGCTTGTTGAAGACCAATCTTGCTGCTGCATTCTGGATCAGTTGCAATGTCTTGATAGTACATGCCAGAAGGCCTGCCAAGTGATCATTACAATAGTCCAGTCTAGAGAGAACAAGAGCTTGGACAAGGAGTTGTGCGGCCTGCTCTGATAGTAAGGATCTAATCTTCCTAATGTTGTATATGGCAAATCTGCAGGACCGGGCCGTTGTTGCAATATGGTCTGTGAAGCTTAACTGATCATCAATCACAACTCCAAGGTTCCTGGCTGTCCTGGAAGGAGTTATGGTTGACGAACCTATCTGTATAGAGAAGTTGTGGTGAAGTGCTGGGTTGGCTGAGACCACGAGCAGTTGTGTCTGATGGCCCTTCATCCAGCCAGAAATATCTGCCAGACAGGCTGCAATGCAAACAGCTACCATGGGATCATCTGGTTGGAATGAGAAGTAGAGTTGAGTGTCATCAGCACAGCAGTGATGGGAAAAGCCATGATAGATCCTAATGATGACATGTAGATGGAGAAGAGAAGTGGTCCAAGCACTGAGCCCTGAGGAACCCCGGTAGCAAGAAGTTGTGACTTGGAAACCTCTCCCCTCCAAGACATCCTGAAGGACCTACCTGAGAGGTAAGACTTCAACCACTGGAGTGTGGCTCCTGAGATGCCCATCTTCGTGAGGGTGGACAGGAGGATCTGGTGGTTAACTGTGTCAAAAGCAGGAGACAGATTCAGCAAGATGAGTACTGAGGATATGGAAGCTGCTCTTGCCAGTCTCAGGGCTTCAGTAACCAAGAGCAGGGCAGTCTCAGTTGAGTGGCCGCTTTTGAAGCCAGATTGGTTGTTGTCCAGATGGTTGTTCTGTGCAAGAAACATAGACAGTTGGTTGAACACAACTCGCTCAAGTGTCTTTGCAATGAATGGAAGAAGGGATACCAGTATGTAGTTTTCTAAATGTGCTGGATTTAGGGAGGGTTTCTTAAGCAGTGGAGTTACCCAAACCAGCTTAAATGCTGTGGGAAATGTACAATGTGTGAAGAGAGGTGCTGATAATGTGAGTGAGTGCAGGTATAACTGAAGAAGAAATCGCTTGAAAGGGGTGAGTGGGGATAGGATCAAGCAGACAGGTCAGGTAGGATGATTGGAAAGGATAAGTCTGCCTCCGAGAGTGGAGAGCGGGAGGAGAGAGAGTGTGTATTTGTTATGAAGTTTGTGGGTGGTGCGTGCTGGTCTGGATGAAAGGTGGCAAAAGTTGTATAAGCAAGATGTTAGAGTGGAGCAAAGAGTGTTAGTGTCCAGTGCTGAAAACTGAGAGGGTGGAGGAAGTGAGGATGAAACCATAGAGGATAGGCGAGAGGGAGAGAGTGAAAGGTGACCTGTGGAGGAGTGCGAGTTGTGCCTGGAGTCAGTCTGAGGTAAGAAGTGATGAGGAAGTGGTCTGAGGTGTGCAACAGAGTAACTAGAGTGTTATCAGTGGCGCAGTAGAGTGTGTAGATAAGGTTTAATTGGTTATCTGATTTGTGAGTAGCTGTAGTAGACACTCGCTTGTGGTCAAATTAGGCAAGCAGAGTGTTGAAGTCAGCAGCCTGGGGTTTACCTAGGTGGATGTTGAAGTCACCAAGTAGTACCAGAGGAGTATCGTCCTGAGGGAAGTTTGGTAGTAACACATCCAACTCCTCCAAGAAGTTACCCAGTTGACATGGGGGACGATAAACAATTACAGTGGATTTTAACATGGTGGGTAATAGTAATTGCGTGTGATATAAATGAACTGTTGCCAGTAAGAGATGGTAGAGGATCAAATTTCCATTAATTTGTAGACCGGTACCGCCACCCCTTGCTCAATTGGGAGAAATTGGGGGAAATTGGGGAAAAAGTTAAATAGAGAGGGCTGCAGGAGTGGCAGTGTCCTCAGGTTTGATCCAAATCTCAGTTAGGGCCATGAGGTTGAGACTTGAATGAGTAGCAGTAGATGAAATAAAGTATGCTTTGTTTACAGCAGACTGGCAGTTCCAGAGACCAGTTGGAATAGAGAGTAAAGTAGTAGAGGACATAGGGAAAGTACGCAGATTTCGCTGCCACCAACGTACAGAGCGTGATTTACAAGTGTTGGTAGTATTAGTAGAGATTTGAAAGCACATAGTAAGTATAATTGACTAAAATAAGTAGATGAGAACAAGCTGTACAAAAAGTAAAGAAAGGGGAGAAAAGCAATACTCAAGTGCCTTGTCGGTGTCCTTGCTTGGTGGAGTCGTGCAAGGTAGAGTCGATTGTCTTTACACTCGTTGGTCTTCACACGAGGGCTGTCGTGCCGCGGTGTACTAACCAATTATATACTCGCCTGATACCTTGTTATTGAATTCAGCTAGCCAAGCCTTACTACTTACCAAACCGAAACTGAAAAGCCACGCGATACGCACGAGAACAAACGCGACTTGAGCACGCGTTACACCGTAAGCAAAACAATGTTTCCTAGAAACGACAACCGCGCTAAAATCTAATGACAAAAGAAACAAAATGCTTACAAACTGCGGTCCTCTTCTGTTGCACGACTGCTTCTTCTCTTAGGATGCCTATGTGTATAAATGACTCCCTTAATATTTTTCTGTCTGATCCAATTCCTAGTCCATACAAGAGCAAAATCCGTTCAGCTGAGTGATAGATGAACAAACACAACAGATTGAATCAGAAAGTCCCATTTATCGCAGTTATTTGCCGTTATCTCACTCTCTCTGTCTCCTTTTTCAGATGAATGTGGGATAGTTGCTCAGATCTCTCAGCCTCTTGCAGACAGTGATATATCAGCATATTACATTAGCACCTTCAGCTTTGATCATGCTCTGGTAAGTCCTTTTTTTCTCTCTTTTTGACACACAAAACATTTTAGCTCTGAGTATTAGTTGACTGGTGTGGTTTTTGCAGTACATTAATGCACAAATATAATTAATAGACCCATTCAGGGTGATAAAAGATCCTGATCACCCTGTGTGCGTTTATTTTGTGATAATTATCTGCTGACATTCAGTCTGTAGAGGTCATGTGCCTAGTCTACAGCATTTATATTTAGTACATTTGAATCATTTGTGTGACACTGAGCAACAGGAGGCAAATGGTTGCCTAGTAACCAGGAATCTGGTCTGATTGGACGATTTTCGCAACACCGCCTCTGTTTATTTCCATGATGTCATGTGAAATCATATCATCTGGTTGTCCTTGCTTCCTATTCCTTTCCTTTTTTCCTGGAAACCCTCAAGTATTTTAGCAGAAACTGTCTGGTTCCCGATTGGTTAGGGGATCGTTCTTACTCATCATTAGATCATCGTTATAATTTAATATTAAAATGTGCTGACTCTCTGAAATACTTGCTTCTGATTGGTGAATCACAACATTGTGCATGGAATGTCAAATATTTTTGTAGTTTTGTAGTATATCACAGTTCAAATCGCAATTGCAACATGGAAAAAATAATCACAATTTTTTTTTGTCCAAGTCGTGCAGCACTATATAGGCTATACACAGTGCTGGGTAGATTACTTACAAATTGTAGTCCAATATTGATTACAAATTACATGACGAAAATTGTAGTTAGTAACCTAATCTATTTTTACACGTTTACATCTATGTTTACACATTTTGGTTTACATTTAGGTGTAGTTGGTAGGAATGTTCTGTAGGGGTAGTTGATGAAAAGCAAATTAGTTAAATCATAAAAATGTAAAAATAAAATAAAACAATATTTTATTTGTTTACCTGCATGTGATTGTGACTATTAACTCTCATTAGGGAACCATGAATATGCGAATGTGTTGTTAAATTATTGAAATATTAACTTAAAATCTCTAGACTTCAGGAAAATATTTTAGGTCAAAATAATGTGCGAATAATAAGTAATCATGCAATCCATATAAAGTAACTGTAAACTAATTATAAACATTTTAACAAGTAATGTAATCGAAGTCAAGTACTTACTTTTTGGAATTTGATTACGAAATCTGGATTGCATGTAATACATAATTTTAAAATAAAAGCACTTTTATTCAAAATAAAACACTGATCATTTATCGTCTTACTTGCAGGTCATGTGACCTTTAACCGACATCAAAGAACCGTAAACATGCAAATGTTCAAATTATTGAAATATCAGCATATTTTTTTCCGGCTGGCATACTAGTTTTGGAACCACCGCTATACAGTAGCATGTAGGCGAATTTATTTTTTATTTTTTTTCTGACACTAGCATCCTTCATGATTCATTCAAAATCGAAGAGACATGATTCAGTCATCAGTGATTTTAGGATGTTTTTCCACATAAACTGAATAAACCATACTATATATAGGTTAACCATTGCTATATATAGGGCATGGTGATGATATAATCCTTCAGTGCAAGCCAGTGAAGTCCCTGCCACCATAATCATGCGTTCACATGACCTTACAGTAAAAGAGGAAGTGTGAGGAATAGTTCATGCCTGTTGGTATTCAAACTTGCGCTACTTTGTCATGACCTTGATCTGTTTCTGTTTCTTCATCTTGTTTTTTTCCACCCCTACTCTTTTGCCATAGTGTCACAAAAACAATTATTATTATTGTAATTTATTTTATATTTATTATTATTTTATATAAACATTTACTTTGTTTGCTGTTGTTAATAATAATAATTATTGTTGTTAGCATTTATATATTTATAAAACTATTCATTTTTATGATTTATTATTATATTTATAATTTTCTAAGGGTCCTGCTCTAAACATTGTGTTTAAGACAATGTGTAGAGTTAAAAATACATTTTAAAGGTTAAAATACTTTTTAGAAATACTGTTTTGGAAGGGTATTTTTAACTTCTGAAAATATGTAGTTCCATGCATGCATCATTCTGTCTGTCCATAAATACCTCTGTGCATCCATCCGTCTCTACAAGAAAACATGCACTGTTATCAGTCTGAGCTGATTCGTATGAGATGATGCATCTCTGTTTACGCCCATCCTACAAAACTCTTCATACCAGTGTGTGTTGTTCAGCTGACAGCATGTGACATCCCTAACAAATATTGCATGTTTGGATGGGACGTAATCATCCTTGTATTTTTGTGTCATCTAAGCCTAAATCTTTTTTTGTCTCAGGTGCCGGAAGAAGACATGGTGAGCGTGACCGAGATGCTTCAAGCTCAGAGGATGTCCAGTTGAGGATGTGTATTCAGATTGAAAAGGGTAGAAAAAAACCTTCATGGTGGATGGTAGATCTTATTTGAGCCACTAACTCACAGTATTACTCCACAAGTCTGTCTTACCATAACCAGAGGTGCTTCAGTCACTGCATTTGAGAGCTTGGGCTTAAAACAGACCTAAACTCAAAAAACAGTGGCATTTTGCTTTTGCAGAAACAGCAGTGCTGATTATATACCTTTACCATTAATCAAAGTATTTACATGATTTGAAAGGACATTTTTGCGGCATGTTAATGATCGATTATTTGAAGCACTTTTTTTCTTAATTTAATTAGAAGATGACAGGACGTTATCGATTTTGGATGTTTATTTCTGCATTTTCAGGGGTAATGATAACACGATGTTCTGTAATGCGCAGCAGGAAATTCCCTGTTTGGTTTACCTGCTGCCATTATGTTCTGCAAAAATCATTATTACTTTGAGGATTGCACACAGACGTCTTCCAGTATTGTCAGAATCAGGTTTTTTTTTTCTTGAGTAACCCTGTTTGAGGTCAAGCTAAATACATTTTATTGTTGTAGCAACTTATGGTGTCATTGAAACATTGCACTTAGAAAAGCAGTTACTGACAGTGAATATTCTGATCACTTTTGAATCAGCATTTCAAACGTATCTCGCAAATAC